TCTCAGGCCGATACCGTGCGGGAAACACTGCGCTTGACCTTTATGCTATTGCTGTAGTGTTATTAAACTCCCGCCTCGCACAAGATGCAATGCCGTTGCATCGTGTCATGCCACCGTCGATACTGCTGAACTGAAGGAAGACCGCCCGTCCTCGCGTATGTTCATTGGATTTGTAGAAGGTAATGTGATTCCCTGGAAAAAACTAAGGTATGCAGGTCACGGATTGGAGGATAAATGTTCGCCCCTAACCAAACGGCATGTTTGGATGCTCTCAACTATGCTCGATAAACTCATGAAACTCGGCGCACATGTCATTGTCAAACACACTAGTAATGTTTAACGCAGCTTTATGATATTTGAGCAAAGTATGAATGTTTGTTTTCTCTGGATTGGAGTAATGAAAATGTTTAAAAACGTGGTGGGGCAGATAACGTAGTTCGTTCAAGGCATGAGGCATGGTTGTGTTTCCTCAGAGCTCGATTTTTGAGGTGCCTGGTGCTCTCACTCGTCAACGAACTGGGATGGCGACTCTCCAGCAAATGACATTTAACAAGGTACTCGTGTGTGGGATGAGAATCTTTACTAGCCGATGTGTGTTTCGATTTGTCATGTTTGATTTAGATGATTCAACTGCAGATTCACAGTTGTATGATGTAGATGATGTGATTCTTTATTTTTGATAGTGAATGGCGGTCGGGGAAGTGTGGGTACACAGACAGAAGGAGCCGGAAAAAAAACCTTTGATCCATCGCAGTATAAACATTTATCAACAAATATTTTACCCATACACTAGAACATGCTTTTTTTGTGTGCATTGCAGGTGGTCTTTGCGGTGCTCAGCCTAATTCCCTGGCCGTGTGGAGCAGTTGATCCATACATTGTTCCTGTGTAGAGCTCCTTCAGCTTCGGCGCCTCCTGATGAGGTCATCGCTGTGGAGGCGGCGGGTAGAAGCAGGCTTATCTGGGTTGGGCAAAGATGGAACTTGGCCTGAGGAAGTCTTCGTCTACAGTGGATGTGGTCTGCCACTGACGATTGGAGCTATACAAATTGAATTGAATTGAATTGTATCGCATCAGCCTCGGTGATGGAGTTGGCTACTACTTTAAAAAAAAAAACTTTTTTAGGGAAACATTACAAAAGCAGGGAGCACTGGGATCACCAGCAGTAGTAAAAAATGTTGTCTGGGGAGGGATAAGCAAGTCAAAAATGTGGTCCAGAATATGTGAATGAATCTATTTAATTGTTTTTAATGCTGTTTGTCTTTCTGTTGAGATGTGTTCTGCTAGTGTAAGGGGTCACTGAAGTTTAGAAGTTTAGGTTTAACGTCACATTTAGAAGAAGTTTTTTTTTTTCTGTGATGCTCTGATGATGACTTCAGGTTGAAAAGGGCAGTCATCTCTTTCCACTAACTATCTCTTCTGTAGAAATGACCATTGCATCCATTTTTCTTGAAATGCTTTCTTTTATGGTATTACTAAGTTTAAAGATGATATGCATTATACATGTATTACACTCATTCCATCCTGTCCATACTCAACTCATGTTTGTCCACAGTAATATCAGGCATGAAGCAGGGGGTGGGCAGAGTCTTTGGATTCCAGTAGCACTTCAGTCATGGTAGGAGTGAACATATCAGTTATTATCCCATACCCTGCAGATAGAAAACACATCAAGAAATACAGCTCTATCCATGTAGTTTCTAACTACAGCGTTTCCATTCCATCATGTTCATATTTCCCCGAAGTTAAACACCTCCATTGTTTTCCTGCCTTCAGCATCCATGCTCTGGAATGATTCGACACTTGAGGATCTTCAGGTAGTTCTGGACCTTATTGGAGTCTCGGCGGAAGCAGTAGAGGAGGTCATAGTCTTTCATCAGGTGCCACTCGGCACTGTCTGATGGCAACAAACCCTCAGGAGAATCCAGGCTGCTGACAGAGTTACTTATCATCCCCAACATCTGCATCTGGAGCAGAGAGGACACACATTATAACAAACTCCTTTACAAGACGGAAGCCAGGTAGAAGTGTTTCTGGGGACACACAAATCTGAATTTGAATAGTTACATAGACTCAGAGGTGTTCCTGTTAGGAAGTAATTCAAATTTTTAGAGGAGATATTTTTGGAGGGCATCTTTATTTTGTCTTGTTTTTATCTTGATTTTGTTCATTTATTGTTCATTTCGTCCATTTGAATGTACAATGTACAATTGAGTGTGTAAAACAACAGAATCCACACAAAACATACTCCATAAACACTTAAACACATTCCATGACCCAAAAGAGCAAGAGAAAGAAAGAAGAAAAAGCAAACTCATACAATCATTTAGGTCAGTTTATATCATACCATCTATTTTAAGTCCCCCTTCCAGTCAAATATCAGCGTTTGACTGACACTAGAATGATCTGAGGTTTTCTTACGGGTGAACAATGCAGTTTGGATTTGTTGTGTGACGTAAGGACTTTGTCATCTGTGTTTAATTCTCATTTACTAGGATTACACAACCTGACTGGAAAGTACATCGCTGGAAGCTACATTACCATAGTACCATTTCATTTGGATGCAAGATCACAAAATTATGTATTTGGTGCTAGTCTAAAGCAGAAACATTTGGAACTAGAAGAGTGGACTCAGCACTTCACAGTTCACACCAGGTTTGTCTGGGGTCCTGGGAACAGGGAGTGCAGGTCAGGCTGTGTGTCTAATGTATATTACTTTGGTGTGCAAATCTAGACAGTATCAATTCCAAAGCACCTGTGATATAAAATATCACTTTAAAAGTGAAAAAGTAAAAAAAGGAATCTGGCAATATTACTAAAACTACCCTAGCAAAACAAGATTCTAAACCAAAGCAGTTGTTAAGGAGTTCGGAGACACCAATCAAATATATTTATCAGAAATTGTGAGTCACCACAACTACAAGGAGTCCTTAGGCATGCAGTTATAAATGTGCACACAAATTACTGATATTGGTAATATTACAGATAAGCTGCACACAGATACACACACACACACACACACACACACAAGATCCCTCTTGAGTTAAAGTAAGTGATATAGTGTGTATGTAGTGTGAACTGGGTGCCACAGGGCTCATGGGAAGTGCCTCCCACTCATTTATATTTGGAATTCATGGAAGACATAAGTAAGAAGTACCTTCTCAGCCACTTTCTCTACACCTTTGCGTAGCTCGTGCACCATGTCACTCATCTCAAGAGCTTTATTGGAGCTGAAGTTGTTGAAATCATGGTGGTGAGCCATGCTTTGGTGGAAATGCCACAGAGGATCCCTCCACGCCGTCAGGAGCTTCAGAATCACCTCCGTCAGCTCCTCTCTCTATAGAGATATAATAACAGGACAGGTGGGTTGTTACACAAAAGTCAGTTCAAGGTGAGTTTTCTCACCAGTAGAAAAAAAATGCCTCAACATGTTTAGGTGTTTATTTTACAACACAAAAATGAAATTTAAATAACAACAAACTAAAGTCTTGATTAAATACTTTTTACTAGGTATTTTGTTAGTGTCACTTAAAATCACTAAAGCTACTTGTTAAAAAATGTTTACAAAAAATTATTACATAGCTACTTAATGTATTTTCATATAATCAGTAGTGTCTTACAAAATGCATGGAATTGTACAATACATATATTTAAAGGCCGTTTTTTTTCTTTAAAACTTTTTAGTTCATATATCATTAACAGCCTGATTTATAGTACATTTTAATTTAAATAAATAAAAGTAGAGACACATGAAGTAACATAAATGATGCATGTCAACAAAGAAATTTCAAAACACGACTTACATTATGAAATGTTAAACATCCATGTTTAAGGGAAAGGAAATGCTGATGATAACTCAACATTCTTCTTGTAAATGTGAGGTGGACAGTGCATGCCAATGAGAGAAAATAGCTTTTATAAAGGTTAATTCACCGCCATTCTCTGAGCGTTCTCTTTGCCATTTGGGGTGAGGATGGTGGAGGTGTGACAGTTGCGACTGACCCGGCCAATCTGATTCTTACTGGGCAGGAAGTACTGCTCCTGACAGGACAAACATGAATGCAAGAATGAAATGTCAGAGGTCTGGTGTCATCTAAATGTCAGCTGTGGCTAGAGTACAGAAGGGATGAATGAAGTAGTAGAATGGCCTGCTATAGCAAATAATCACAATGGATATACTTACACCTGTGTGTGCTAGTTTATGAGGTACATCAAGCTAAAACTAATGCAATTTGGGTGGGCTAAGTAATAGAAACAGCAACAACCATCTCCTCCAGAAAGATCACACAGTTGAATCAACACCTCTACACAATCTGATCATTACAACCTTCATGAAAGAGGATTTATTGTAGGATTATTCGTTGTGGCTATGTGTACCTAATAAATTGGCCCCTGAGTATATGTATGTATGCACATGTGCAATATCCTGCAGTCTGTATAAAAATGCTCCTTTTTTAATCAAATGATCAAAATAAAACACATATCAGTATAAGCATAGCTTTAAAAAGATGCATCTACAAAATAGTCTAGTTCAAGATAGAATTTCTACCAAACAACACATTAAGCAATATGTTTGACCAAACATAAATATAACCTGACTTGTGGATTAAAAAAGGTAACTGTGATCCATTACAGTTACAAAATAAGGTATAATAAGATTGCAATTACTTTTTGTAAAAGAGGGGATTATTAGCAGGATTACAATTTTAGAATACAACAAACTCTTCACGAGTCTTAAACAGCACTCTGCTCACAGTGAAACCATAGCTAATCTTAAAGTTCGATTGATTATCATGGCCTCTAGTGAAAAATCAGCTTTCACTGGGTTAAAATGTCACCATTATTTTGTCTTTAAAGCAGAAAAGGAACCAACATCAAAGTACAGAACAAGTTCTGCCTTCCAGCTGTGAAAATGATTTATAAGATACTGCCGGAATTTGCTTCAAAAACAGAACACTGAGCAGAGGACACTTTGCTGATTTTTCATTTCATTCATTTTTATTTTCTTTTCTACGGTTATGTTGTCTTAAAAAATATGTAAAGGTTATCTTATTGATATTTCTTTTCTCTTGTCTTTATTGGTATATTTGGTGTTGAGGTAATCCAAAAGTAAGGGAAAGTAATCAAGTTATATTAACAACAAGTAATCAGTAATTGTTTTAGATTACATTGTTGAAGTAATTCATTAACCATTACCAGAAAAGCATTGTAAGACAATGTGAGAAAAAAAAGATGGACTTACAAACTCGGAGTGAAGGTCATTTGAAATGCCATGCATCCTGGCTGAGTGTTGGATGACCCGGTCAAACAGGTTGGCCAGGGACAGGACGTGGCACCCAGCTTGGGCATTGGTACAGATGGGTGCTGCACCTACACCGGTCAGTCTGCTGCAAAACGACACACAGACCAACACAACCCACACAACAGACACTAGGAGAGAACCAAGAGAATAAGAAAGAAGTTAGATAAAACAAAATATTGCAGAGCCAAAACACAAGTTTCAAGGTGAATCATATCGTATTCTTCAGGAATCTGGTATAACTGAGACAAATTCATATCCTCCTCTTTTGAAAAAGTGTGTGTGTTTTTTAAGATTTTAGACTGAATGAAATAAAGAGATGAAATCATGATGGTAGGTTGGGGGAAAAGGAGTAAAGAACCGGATGACATGCAGAAAGAGAACTGACAGTTCTTCCTTTGGGTTCCTTCATGCAAAGTTGTGAAATACCTGATCTGATGTTTCCAGGCATTCTGCAGGGCGTGGAGAAACTCCTGTCTCTGAGCAGAGGGCGCAGAAGCTTATCTATTCAAAGACCCCCTCAGCTTCATATAAGGGTCCCTCACTGACCATTTCCCTCTCACACTTTAATATCAAAGAGAAAGACAGAGCGGGAGGGCGGGAGGGAGAGGGTGGGGGCAGGGTCAGTAGTTTCTGTCCTGTGAGTCAGACGGAAGCACTATGCGTTATTCAAATGTCATATATTTGTTTATCTATGGACAATACACATTTCTGTAAATGTGCCAGTGACTGGCAATTTAACTCAAGAGAATGTTTACATAATTTCACTGAAACTAACAACATTTTGTAAGTTAAAAAGGCATTCTTAATTAGTGACTCCCTTTTGTCATTTTTATTTGTACTGTGAAAACAAAATACCTAGTAAAAAGTATTTAATCAGGAACGTTTCTGTTACATACAAAACTAAGTTAGTGGCACTTAAAATTACTAGAAAAAACGTCTAAATCAAGAATCTTTCTTAACTTAAAAAAGAGTTTGCATTACTTAAACATTTTGGTATGATTAGTTTCAACAATTTTTTGAGTTAAATTAACTTATCTGGTTTTACAAAATGTTGTCAGTATCTGGTGATAATTGATTTTTATTTTTTTTTTGCTAAATAACTTTTTTGCTAAACAGTCCTTTGACTCCCTTTATGCCTATGTCCCATGTTTGTTGTGTGTGTGTGTGTGTGAGACTCATCATAATGAAATAACCTAAGGCGATCTTTAAAAGCATGACATCATCAACTGAGGACATAATTCCAACAAGCATCATTGGACTGTCTGTTCAACATATTTCGGTAGTTGGCACTGGGGTCACTTAGCATTCATCTCCAGTACCTATTATTAATGTCTCAGAAATCATAGACAGCCTATTAAAAGGTCATTAAGAGTGCCCCAGGCACTCATTGGAAGAGGAGCTCAGAATGACAGGGCAGCAGTAAATTAATGTCATGTTGTTTAGAAAGTTGAATGACGTCAAAGAATTGTAGCCTGGATCAGTTCCTGTTGTAGGCAACTGACTCACCATCCTCTGTGATGGCCAGGCAGGCAAACATAGTAAGAAAAAGGTTATGATTCCTGATGACAATGTTTAAGCATGATTCATTTTGAGAAAGAAGACATCTAAATCCATTAAGAGTTGCAAACTCTAGGCCTTTAGATTCTGATCCAAATGTAATAATTACCATCTTTGAAAATATAGAAGGCCTAGTAATTTACAGAATAAATCAATTACTAATGTTTGGAGTAGATATTTAAGTGGTTCTCAAACTTTTATTAATAAAGTACCCCCTTTCAAATATTTGTTCAGCAGAGTACCCCCTGACTAGTGCAGAAAATTTTGGTCAATAATGAAAAAACTAATCCTGTATTAAGAAGTACAACACAGGACAACCTGACAACAAATCATTTTTTGTCATCAGGCAATAACACTAAGGCATTGAACTATGTCTTTTTGAAGTTGCACTTAATGAGAAACATAGACGTGTGCAGGCTCTTAGTCCGTTTTTTATTCTTGGTAGCAGGAAGGCAACTACAGTGGTCAGACTCTTTTCCAGATGTTTTAGGGCAGTTGATAGTTCATCGCTGATGCTAGCAGCATCTATGCTAACCCTTTTTAGCAGCTGCCTTTGTTTTTCTGTCGCTTCTCACTGCGTCACACTGATAGTGGTTCCACAAAGGATGCTGATTTGTCCGAATCATTGTAGTTTGGACACAAGTGCCTAGCTTGAAACCTGGCACCTGGAAAAATAGATTCTCACATGACCTTGTGAGTCCTGATTCCTTGTAGAGTTAGAATGTATAAACCGCAACATGGAAAACATCTTGGAGAGAGCTGTTAGCGCTCAGACGGTGGTCATTAACCGCAACATGGATAACATCTTGGAGAAGTTTTCGGCTCTGCAAGTGCTAAGGAGAATGAATCGATTATTTTTTGAGACCAGATTGGACAAATAGATTAAATCGTGTCTTTTGAAATGCGACTTACTCGCCTACCCAAACAATCAAATGGTAACTGCATTCCGTTCCTCTCACAGCAGCGGCCTTGGCCAAGGCCGCTGGCTGGAACAACTCTCTTTCTTGTGTGTTGTTGTAGGACGCTCGCCCCATCCCTCCTTCCATCCTTTCACGAGACACCTGGTGATTGTTGACTTCTGTTGTAAGGACCTGATCCGAGGACGTCTCCATGGCAACCTTGCTGTGTGTGACACATTTGAACTGAGGCCAGGTATGGATGTGGGGCTAAGGATGACCTTTGACTCTTCCAGGCTTATGTGCACACATCGCAACCCATGACACTTTACACATGTGAATATGCAAAACACACCCTTCTAGCCCCCCCCCATCCCCACTCGCCTTCGCGCTTTTTACCCCCAGGGCGATCAAGCGGTGGGTTCCTCTGCGCTGAGCTGCGCCGCGGCATGCCTGTCATGCGGGCTAGTACTACTCCACCCCTTTCCCCCCTCCCCCGGGGGTGGCAGTGTTTTTTGTAGTCGTGTATGTGTGTAAAGTGATATATGTGTTATGTTTGCTGGGTTTGTTTTTTCCTAGTTGGCCACACTGTTACTTGCCGCGTACCAGGCACAGAGTTTTGGAGCGGCTTTTTCCCTCCCCTCTCCTCTTGTTTTCCTGTTTCTTGTACCCCCCTTCAAGTAATTTCCCCCCGGGGATTATTAAAGTATTTCTGATTCTGATTCTGATTCTGAATTTCAAATGTTCTATAGATTATAAAATAACAGAAAACACAATGTAACAAGCCTAAACTGTAAGTCTGTAGTCATGCTAGTGGTCATGTAAAGTTGCAATTTTCATTATACACCAGTACACAGAATTTATGGATTGATGAAAAATGCAGAGGTAACTTTGCTGTTGTTATTACTAGTGGGTTGGGCTGCCTGATGGTGGTACCCAAAGGTAAAATGTATCTTTTCCATGGTTGCGATTCAAATAAATCTCAGACTCACCTTGCATGGTCAGATCTGGCTCAATTTGCAGTCTAAACTGTACTTTATCAGGCTCAAACCATCATACATCTTCAGCTGCACTACATCAGGCATTGACAATTTTTGCTCCACTTTGTCATTGTCAACTGTCACATTTTTAGTGTGGCTTGTTCAGCTTTATTCAATTTCAGGTCAAGTTCAAATAATTTCAAATTGGGTTTCAACTTTGCCTTTTGCTTTTGCCCCTTGGCATTACCTGTGTACCAAACTTTGCTCAGTCAAAGGAACTGTTTATTCAACTAACCTCGTTTTCTGGCACAGTTATAACAGTATGAACTGGCCAAAAAGACTCATCCGACTCTAGCCAAGTACACGCTGCTACAAGTATGAGGATTAACCAGCAGGAGGAACAACTTTCCGCCATTTATATTGGGGTCCGATAGCTAGACCGTCAGGAGAGTTTTCAGGCTTCTGCCAGGTGGGTCACCTGAAGAACCAGATTCAACAACTAGTGAGTTGAATTGATGCCCTCAATCCCACCTCACCTGTTCTTCCTGTCCAGCATTCACAGGCAATCCCTCCTGCTCTTGTCGCTCCTCTCACCAAACCTGAGCAGTTGTCTGGTGAGCCCAGGAAGTGCCGGTCCTTCCTCGTCCAGTCTGGGGGTCCACAAAAGGCAAAGGCTTGCCAGTGAGAAATGGGACCCTGGCAGACGACCACCCACCTCGAGCTGAAGGGTCTGTCCTAGGTGGAAAAATGTCCACATGTCTTCAGTCTTAAAAGCATCTAAATGGACCAAATATGAATAAGGTTAGTGCTGTTGCTAATTAGCCTACTCCTACAAATCACAAGCTAGTACAACATTTCTTGGCATTTGCAAACTTTTATAGGAGGTTCATTAGGAACTTTAGAACCATTGCGACACCCCTGCACGCACTAACCTCTCCCCATGTCCAGTTTCAGTGGACCCCCCAAGCTGACGCCGCTTTCCATGCTCTTAATGCAAGCTTCACATCGGCTCCAGTGCTCACCTTTCCAGACCCCCATTTACATTTAGAGGTGGAGGTGGATGTGTCGGGTGTGGGCATTGGGGTGGTGCTCTCCCAACAGTCTTCCTCAGATAACAAGCTGCATCCCTGTGTTTTGCTGTCATGGAAATTGTCATCAACAGGGAGGAATTATGATGTGGAAAACCATGAACTCTTGGCGGTTAAAGTGGCACTGGAGGGGGCAGAGCAACCATTTCTGGTATGTACGGACCACAGGGACCTGGAGTACATCAGGACGACTAAGCGTCTCAACACCTGGCAAGCAAGGTGGGCACTTTTCTTTAGCAGATTTAATTTCACCTTGTCGACTTCTCCCAAAACATCCTTTTTCATTCTCCCTCTTGTGTGGTTGGGGCAGTTACCTGGGTAATTGAAAAGAGACAAAGAGAGGCCTCCGCTAACACTCTGGCCGCTTGCTTGGGGGCAAGAAGGTTTGGGGACCTTCTCTTTGTACCTGTTCCTCTCCATTTCCAGGTCATCCACTGGGCCAATACCTCCTGCCAGGCACGTGACCGACCATCATCGTCATTACACAACGCTTATCATAGCCTTCAGTGGAGAAGGAGAGTATAAGAAGAGAGGTGGGAGAGTATGTCCAAGTATGTGCCCGGAACAAAGTTCCACGATGCCCTCCTGTGGGGTCTCCTGCACCTGCTTCCTGTGCTGCATCGCCCCTGGTCTGACATCTCTTTAGACTTTGTCACTAGGTTGCCCTCGTCTGGAGGTAACACTATCATCCTAACGGTAGTAGACAGATTTTCTAAAGTGGTCTTTCGCTTCCATGGTTTCCCTAAGGTTGTTGTGTCGGACTGGGGGCCACAGTTCGTGTTGCGGTTCTGGAAGGCGTTGTGAGACTCAGTCAGGAGCATGAGACTGGACTTCCCTGCCAGAACCCATCTTCCTCGAGCAAGCATCTTATTTGGGTGGAGTATGCACAAAACATCCTACCATGTTCTGGTCTGTCTCCCTTCCAGT